CAGGGCTTCAAGGGGGCCCAGAGGAAAGGGGGGGACAAGCTTTTTAGTAGGGCCAGCTGGGACAGGACAAGGGGGGATGGCTTTAAACTAAACCAGGCCTTTCCTCCCCCACTCCCACACACCTTGTGCTTCGTTCCCAGCTCACATTGACACAAAACCATCAGCACCAGAAGAGGCGTGCCACGTTGGTCTTTCAACCCAAGACAAACATCACCAACGGGAAAGGTGGAATCTAACACATGCGCCACACAAAAAAGCCCCCACAACACGCAGGCGTCTGGAAGCTGTGCAGAAAGGGATTTTCATTCGCTGCTATTGTATAAACATTCTCGGCATCTGGCCAGAGTCCCAGCTACACAAATGGAGTTGCCTCGAGATAGAAACTTGTGGCAAAGTCCGGGAGGCAACTGCACGCAAACGGCTGCGCTGGGAGAAAGCTGTCCGAGGAAAAGGTGCACACTGCCGCGCTCAACTTGTGGCAAAGTCCGGGAGGCAACTGCACGCAAACGGCTGCGCTGGGAGAAAGCTGTCCGAGGACAAGGTGCACACTGCCGCGCTCAGGGCCTGCCACGAATTGCCGACAGCTTCCCCCCAGCGGGCGAGCTTTGCTGTGAAAAGGTTTGCCTCCAAGAGCAGAAAACCTGCTGAGGGTTTGCCATTAAATATGGGAGGCAAGTTGCCGAGCTAGGAAGGGCACAGCAGCACGTGCTGTAATCCCGCAAGATGCGACTGAGCATTACAATATTCTAGGAAATATGAGCGAGATAAAGCACACACGCTCTGGGTTACGGTCACCCATGAGCTAGCAGAGCTCCTTGCCTTTTATCCAGGCTGTCTGTTAGTACTGAAACCTGGGATTGTGCAAATGCTGAAATGCAGAGGCCTTTTCTTCCTTGCCACTAAGCGTGCCAGAACTTCTACAGCAGCATCCCTGAAACAGTGCCGAGCTGGTTCTGAGCACACCGGCTTACCTCGGCCACTGCCTCCCCGAGGCTTTTTCTTTTTCCATTTAATATATTTCTCCCATATGTTCTTGCAGAGGCAAAACTGGAGAAAGCTACCAAATTTAGCAGTAATCCACTTCCACCAAATGAAGTTAGAATTGGCATTATCACCAGTGCAAAGTTAGAAAAGTCTGTGACGTTACTAACGAAGGAGGGCAAACCAAAGATTAGCGCATCCCACGCCAAACACGCTCCCTCATTTTGCAGTTTACTTACCGCTACCCTTACCTACCCATGATCTTCTATAACTACCTTAGAGGTCAACAGGACCTCTCAAACCAAGCATTCAACAAAATGTGTTGCGTGTCCCCCCCTTTTTTTTTTAAAACACGGCGAATGAGCGTGCACTTTGCAGAACCCACACAAGGTGCGTGATCAGCTGGGGAACACCACCCGTCAGAAGCATCGTCCCAAAAGGGCTCCGCGCAGGGTTCGTGAGAGCTCTAGATCCAGTTACGTAGCAATGTGACATTTTTAATCCTGGATATGATACACATTTGCTTTTAGAGCTTTTCACTTGACTTCCCGTCTGTACAAATTTCAACTACAACTTCTCATCAGAAATACAGCACCCTCCAAGTGAACCACAGCAGAGGCTGCCCAGGCAGCGCATGGCAATAACGGAATCCAGGCACGGGAAGGGGCTGCCCAGGGAAGGGGTCGAGTCCCCAGCCTTGGGGGGATTTAACAGCCGGGCAGAGGTGGTGCTGAGGGCCAGGGTTTGGGGGTGGGATGGCAGGGGTAGGGGAGCGGTTGGGCTGGGGGAGCTGAAAGGGCTTTGCCAACCCAAACGATTCTCATTCTATTCTATGATACTAATAAGCCCCAAACAACCTTTTTCAGGCTTCAAAATAAAGCATCAACATAACATTAATTGTATTTGAATTACCAAGACATCCTCCACACCCTTCGGACCCATCTAAATTTAGAAATATATTCAGGTTTTACATTTAAAAAGTTCTCCTGCCTTTGGTATTCTTGGAGTCTCTCACTTTCATCAGCACCTCTCATGTTTAACACTTACCTGCCCAATTACCAGTTTTAAGAAGGGCACAAACAATTTCTGGGATAAAAATGGGTCGGGGATGGTCCAGCCCTTGCTCTGCTCAGGCAGGCCACGTCTTGAACTGACAGAGCTGACACAGCCTACATCTGTCACCCCAACCTCAACGCTTGCTGAAAAATCCAAAGAGGTTCAGGCTGCCTCTCAAGACGAGATAGAAACAATTTTGCAAAATAACGGCATTCATTTCCCTGCCAACCCTGGCATCCACATGCCGGCTTATTAAAAACAGATCCATACCGAGGAATGGAGATCCAAACTTGTGGCAAAGTCCGGGAGGCAACTGCACGCAAACGGCTGCGCTGGGAGAAAGCTGTCTGAGGACAAGGTGCACACTGCCGCGCTCAGGGCCTGCCACGAATTGCCGACAGCTTCCCCCCAGCGGGCGAGCTTTGCTGTGAAAAGGTTTGCCTCCAAGAGCAGAAAACCTGCTGAGGGTTTGCCATTAAATATGGGAGGCAAGTTACCGAGCTAGGAAGGGCACAGCAGCACGTGCTGTAATCCCGCAAGATGCGACTGAGCATTACAATATTCTAGGAAATATGAGCGAGATAAAGCACACACGCTCTGGGTTACGGTCACCCATGAGCTAGCAGAGCTCCTTGCCTTTTATCCAGGCTGTCTGTTAGTACTGAAACCTGGGATTGTGCAAATGCTGAAATGCAGAGGCCTTTTCTTCCTTGCCACTAAGCGTGCCAGAACTTCTACAGCAGCATCCCTGAAACAGTGCCGAGCTGGTTCTGAGCACACCGGCTTACCTCGGCCACTGCCTCCCCGAGGCTTTTTCTTTTTCCATTTAATATATTTCTCCCATATGTTCTTTCAGAGGCAAAACTGGAGAAAGCTACCAAATTTAGCAGTAATCCACTTCCACCAAATGAAGTTAGAATTGGCATTATCACCAATGCAAAGTTAGAAAAGTCTGTGACGTTACTAACGAAGGAGGGCAAACCAAAGATTAGCGCATCCCACGCCAAACACGCTCCCTCATTTTGCAGTTTACTTACCGCTACCCTTACCTACCCATGATCTTCTATAACTACCTTAGAGGTCAACAGGACCTCTCAAACCAAGCATTCAACAAAATGTGTTGCGTGTCCCCCCCTTTTTTTTTTAAAACACGGCGAATGAGCGTGCACTTTGCAGAACCCACACAAGGTGCGTGATCAGCTGGGGAACACCACCCATCAGAAGCATCGTCCCAAAAGGGCTCCGCGCAGGGCTCGTGAGAGCTCTAGATCCAGTTACGTAGCAATGTGACATTTTTAATCCTGGATATGATACACATTTGCTTTTAGAGCTTTTCACTTGACTTCCCGTCTGTACAAATTTCAACTACAACTTCTCATCAGAAATACAGCACCCTCCAAGTGAACCACAGCAGAGGCTGCCCAGGCAGCGCATGGCAATAACGGAATCCAGGCACGGGAAGGGGCTGCCCAGGGAAGGGGTCGAGTCCCCAGCCTTGGGGGGATTTAACAGCCGGGCAGAGGTGGTGCTGAGGGCCAGGGTTTGGGGGTGGGATGGCAGGGGTAGGGGAGCGGTTGGGCTGGGGGAGCTGAAAGGGCTTTGCCAACCCAAACGATTCTCATTCTATTCTATGATACTAATAAGCCCCAAACAACCTTTTTCAGGCTTCAAAATAAAGCATCAACATAACATTAATTGTATTTGAATTACCAAGACATCCTCCACACCCTTCGGACCCATCTAAATTTAGAAATATATTCAGGTTTTACATTTAAAAAGTTCTCCTGCCTTTGGTATTCTTGGAGTCTCTCACTTTCATCAGCACCTCTCATGTTTAACACTTACCTGCCCAATTACCAGTTTTAAGAAGGGCACAAACAATTTCTGGGATAAAAATGGGTCGGGGATGGTCCAGCCCTTGCTCTGCTCAGGCAGGCCACGTCTTGAACTGACAGAGCTGACACAGCCTACATCTGTCACCCCAACCTCAACGCTTGCTGAAAAATCCAAAGAGGTTCAGGCTGCCTCTCAAGACGAGATAGAAACAATTTTGCAAAATAACGGCATTCATTTCCCTGCCAACCCTGGCATCCACATGCCGGCTTATTAAAAACAGATCCATACCGAGGAAAAACATTTCAGTATTTGAATACATTAAGGTCGGGTCAATAAAAAGAACAAACCACACTTGTTCAGCACCATAACTCTGCCTAGAAGTATTGTTCCCAAAGTAACGCGACCTGAGATAAAATCCAGCCAATTCAAAGCTGGGACACAAGGTGCCTGAAGGGAATAAAGCCAGTCAGAAGACAAATCCTTCCCTAGGAACCAAAAGAACTCCACCAAAACCCACCTTTCTTCTCCAGGCTGGAGCCCCTCTGCTATGGGGCCAGGCTGGGAGAGTTGGGGGTGTTCAGCCTGGAGAAGAGAAGGCTGCGGGCAGAGCTGAGTGCGGCCGGTCAGGGCTTAAAGGGGGCCCAGAGGAAAGGGGAGGACAAGCTTTTTAGTAGGGCCAGCTGGGACAGGACAAGGGGGGATGGCTTTAAACTGAAGCAGGGGAGGTTTAGGCTGGATCTAAGGAAGAAATTCTTTCCAGTGAGGGTGGTGAAACCCTGGCAGGGGTTGCCCAGAGAGGGGGTGGAGGCCCCATCCCTGGGAACATTCCAGGCCAGGTTGGACGGGGCTGTGAGCAACCTGATGTGGTTCAAGGTGTCCCTGCTCCTGCAGGGGGGTTGGGCTGGGTGACCTCTGGGGGCCCCTTCCCACCCAAACTATTCTATGATTCTATAATGAGTGACAAAATACCCAGAACGAATGTGTAACAGACGTAGCTCCTCAAGATCCTGTATTTCTTCAACTGCAAGAGAAGCTGCAGCGCACGTACTCCCAGGCCTACAGCAGAGCCTTTCGTACTCGCTTCAGGGGAAATGGAAAACGCACCCATTTCCCACAGAGGTAGAGCTACCCCAAACCAGCGGTGCTTCCTGCTCTCTGGGCCCCTATTTAACGGCATGCGTTTTGAGGTAAAAAAGTGTCGTTATTCAGGTGCTGAATATTTACAAGCTTGCGGGAAGAACCCCATAATTTGCCAAGGGGAAAAGGAGGGAGTAAACAAGCACTTCAGGTTGGACTATATGACCTCTAACGGTCCCTTCCAACCCAAAACGTTCTATGATTCTGTGATTAGTCCTCTAAGCCATGAGCAGGACTTGAAATCAAACCCAGATGTCCTGCTTCAAAGCCAAAGTTTTCATCTCCCAATGATTTATCTAAACCCCATTACTAGGCAACACTTGCAAATCAACAAGTCTGGATCTCAGCTGGCAGCAGGATGTTTTGGTCCATCTACGCCTGCACCTCCTTCGGGCCAGCGCCAGCCCTTGCCCGCACGCGCCGGTCTGGCTCACCCAGGTGACAAAGGACTGACCTGGCCCCAACGGGCAGATGTTTTCTGCTGGTTTAGCGAGCAGCACCTCCACCTCAGCCTGAAATATTGTTAGAGTTTGGATTCTTCCAAGTCAGTTACGGATTCTTCTATTTCCCAGACTTTTGAACCAGCTGTAAGGGGGTGGGGGAAGCTAAAACATAGCATTTTTGTTATGTAAAAGTCAAATTACAAGTAAACCTCCGACAGATGCATCCAGAACGCTACAGCCAGCTGCGTGGCACTAAAGCAGACATCGACAAGGAATAAGAGACTGTGCTGGGCCAACCTGAAGTAGAGCTCGTCCGCATTTCACCCAGGGGAACAGGGTTTACACGTTAGACCAAAAAAACAATTTTTTAAAGTAACTGGCCTCCTCCTCTCAAAAGCAGCAGGAGCACAAAAAGCTTTGGGTAAGTTTTAGCAATATTTACCTTTTTAAAGCTACAAGTACGTGGCTTCTTATCCAGTGATTTACCGAGGCATTAGTGTGAAGAGCATTTATAAAACGAATGTACATTTACAAATTTACAGTTTACAGAAAGCAACCCCTACCCAATGGAAGCAGGCAAAGCTTTATTTCCACACGAAACAAACTTTGTCGCCTCACACTCGTCAAAGACTGTTCACAACTAGGTATTGCACAGAGGCCACGCTACCTGCGATGACGAAGGGACTTCAGCATTAGGGTGGCAGACAGGATCTCTCCCCTTAAGCCCCACTCCCAAAGGCTGTGGCGGGATCTGATCCTCCACCAATAGACCAAGGCACCGCCTTGCTGCGAGAACCCGCACACTGCATCGCTGTATTTCAGAGCGCAACACGCAGGTGACTGCTCTTCACTGAAGGTCCCGCAAAAAAATCCATCTTATTTCTGTCTTTCCAAAGCATCCTGCAAACGAGCGCCTCCCACCCAGGGCGCTCGCAAGCCCCTTTGTACACCCGCGACCATCAGCTCTAGAATGCCTCGACTCCAAAACTGCCAACTTTTAGTGACCAGCGACAGGCACAAACTGAATTCGTGTTTGATCCAAAAGGCCAAGTGACAGAACCAAGATATTGTTTTCATCTCCTGCCTGCGCTCAGCCTCCCCGTTGGCAACAGCAGTACAGAAGCTCCAGATGCTGCAATTCCATGCCGAGCTTAGGAGAGAAGTGGTAGGCACAGCTACTTGTGCCTTCCTCCACCTCTGGCACCGGCAAATATCACCCCTTCCCCACAGGCAAGGGCCCAGCCTGTGATTCAGGCTGGAGGTGACAAATATTTGACTTTCTGCAGCTCACTGCACCGCTGCCTGTGCCCACAGACAAGCTCCGAGACTTCCCACAGCCCCCCAAGCCAGCTGCTGAAGCCAACGCAAGGCTTTGGGGCTCCCTTTCCAAAGCAAGGCACAGTCCTACCAAGATGGCAGCGAACTCTGACCAGCAAACCGCAGGGCAGCACCGCTAATTTAGGACACTCGGGTCACAGAGCGCTGCAGGAAGCCCGCCTGAGCCAAGGACCAAGTATTCACAACAGAGCTCCGTACGTGGCACGGACCTTCACGCACCAGCGGAAACTCGGGGTTGTAACACCTCCAGGAAACAGCAAAATCCCTGTCTCTGGAAGAGCCTTTACTAAAAATAAACACTGCCCTCCACTTATAAATCTTCTCAGTACACCATTCCGAGCCCAAAGGTTTTTCACCAGGACTTTCACATACAGAACAGTTGCTCTTAGATGCAAGCCGTCATCCGAGGGGGATGCTGCGGGAAGCCTACACCAGGAACATTGCTGTTGCTGCCTCTTCGACACAGATGATGCCGAGGTATTACCACCGCTTTCAGCACAGATGTTTCTCCTAAATCCCCCTTCTCTCCCCAACTGGAGGAGGAGAAGGGAAGCCAACAGTTAAGCCTGGCATGCTGTACTCAGAAGACGGGTGTATTTTCAACTGCTCGACCGTAGGCTCACATACAAGCGTGACAGTCAATCACAGGGATCGGGCTGTCAGCGCCAGCCCCCTCACTCCACTGCTGCACCCACGCTGCAGCCCGGCCCCTAAGCTGAGGGGTTTCCAAGTTTGCTTCAGCCAGCTTTTAACAAGTTACGAGAAGTGTGGGTTTGTTCCCTTACCTTCACGGGTGACGTTTTCATTCAACACACATCTCACTGCAGCGTACCGTAGCCTGCTAGGAGCACGGGGTTTATCTAAGCAGGCTGACAATCACCTACTCAGCAGGGGATTTCTCAGAAAATCATCACCATTAAAACCGTTTTTATTGCCCGCAGGTAGCGATTATTTCATCTTCTCACTATGCTGCTCCATAAATAAGAGGGCCACGCCTGCTCCCAGGGAACCCGAAATAAAGTACAAAGTCTTGAGCAGTGCAGAAGCCATACGCTGGGATAGACACAGAGCGTGAAAATACAACGCGTGCCCGGCGAGGGGTCACCTCGGTGCCACCTCCCGCCCGTGGGTCAAAAGGCAATCTGTGCATCTAATTAACAGACTCATAAGAGGTTCATCTATTATGAAAGCAAAACAAACAGGAGGCAGCAGAAAAACCACTCTGCAGTTTCAGAGCTGCAATAATTAGCAAAGGTACCTGGGTTAAACAGGGTTTGAACACCTCTTCCTTTCTGGCTGGTACAAAGCTCTGAAGGCCGAGCTAAAGGTCGGGTTCAGCTCTGGCAGATCAGGCTTGAGAAATACCAAATGCTGAACAAGTTCTGCTGCTCCCATTCGCTCCGCTGCTCCTGCGGGTGTAGTGGAACTGGTTCCTGCTGGCCGTGCCGCTGCACTCGGGCAGGGTGGGCGCACAGCACTATCCCTTTCTGCGGGTGCCAGAGGGTAACGCAGGCTGAGGAAGGAGCTGGCTACAATTTCCTCAAGTGGCTACTTGACAAAGAGGAGAAACACACTAACCTCACCACGTTCTGCTTTGATATTTTGCCTCAGTCCATGACGTAACCCGTGCCAAACTGATAGGCCTGGATGCTGCTGCCCTTCCCGCCTCACGAGGCGGAGGGAGCAATCGAAAAACCTGCTACCTCGGCAGCCAACCTCCCCTCTGACACGAGAGCAGAGCTGCCAGCAGTCACTGGCCTCTGCAGAGCTCTGCTCTTCTGCCAACGGCACTTCTGTTGCCATTGTCACCCGTTGTCACCCGACAGCAGTTTTCCCCACATAAACACTGGAAAGCAGCTGCAGCTCTGCCCAGAGGGACCTGGGAGTCCTGGTGGACGACAAGGTGGCCGTGAGCCAGCAGGGTGCCCTGGCTGCCAAGAAGGCCAATGGCATCCTGGGGTGCATCAAGAGGAGCGTGGCCAGCAGGGCGAGGGAGGTTCTCCTCCCCCTCTGCTCTGCCCTGCTGAGACCCCACCTGGAGCACTGGGTCCAGTTCTGGGCTCCCCAGTTCAAGAAGGGTGAGGAGCTACTGGAGGGAGTCCAGAGGAGGGCAACAAGGTTGATGAAGGGACTAGAGCATCTCCCCTAGGAGGAAAGGCTGAGGGAGCTGGGCTTGTTCAGCCTGGAGAAGAGAAGGCTGAGAGGGGATCTCATCAACTCGTACAAATATCTCAAGGGTGGGGGTCACGGGGACGGAGCCAGACTCTTCCCAGTGGTGCCCAGCACCAGGACAAGGGGCCATGGGCACAACCTGAAGCAGAAGAGGTTCCAGTTGAACGGGAGGAAGAACTTGTTGACTGTGAGGGTG